TAGCCAATTTTAGAACACATTTTTTTGCTTTCTTTTATTTTTAAGAGGCTAGTTCAACCAAATATGGTTTGATTTCCACCAAGATTTAGAAAATGTTCAAACATGCTTAAAATACAATTACAATAAACAAATAAAAACACAAAAATCAAGACAAACCCAGTTGTTTATAATAATTGCCTGAATCTGCATACACTTATTAAAAAACAGTAAACAATGACAAATCTATATTATAATGTTAATCCTCTTGTGAACAAGCACTTACTTGTAAATGAGGTAACTGTTTCGTACTTTTATCCCTCCTTTGATAAAACTCACCATACTTTCATCCTGCAACAAAAAGAGATATAGGTGAAAAACACAAGTTCATACACGTTGATTAATAAAGTCAAATTTGATTTTTTTTAAATATTTAGCTCAACTACAAACTACAGAAGACATTAAATGAACCTCTACATGACAGAATTCTTTCAACATTTTCTGCATTTAGCAACTTTTTGAAGAAAACCAGCTGCGTTGAGTCGTATCAGGTGAAACACGATAATATGTTTGAAAAAGCTGATTAGCAGTGGAGCACCTGTAGGAAAGTGAGAGCAGCTCTTTGGAGTTGACACTCTGCAAAACACACTTCTGCATGAAGCTGCTCTGCAAACAACAACAAAAAACAGACACAATCAGTAAAGCTTTGAACGCAAAATCAGACTTTTATTTTAAAGGGTTCCATCTTTTCTTAACTGGAGCGTGTGCATCACAGACTTCAACCTCAAATGGTTTATGTCCTACCTCTCTGATAGAACTTTTGTCTACATCAAGGATTTTATTTCAACATCCGCAGAGCTTCGGTGAGGGGTACCGCAGGGCTCCATTCTTGGACCCCTTCTCTTTTCTTTATACCTGATGCCATTAAGTATTATTTTTCATAAACACGGCATCCATTTTCAGTTTTATGCCAATGACAAAAATCAGAGCTTACACAAAGTGACATATTTTTACTTAATCATTCAACCTTTATTTAGACAGGTAAATCCCATTGAGCCTCAAGGACTCATTTACAAGAGAGACCTGATTTCAACAAAGAAAGATGACAACAATGGACAACAGCGACAACAATAAACAGTTATAAAAAGTCATACTCCAGTTGTTTTTTTTTTTAACAAATAAGATGGTTAAAAAAAAAGGTAACAAAAAAACAGCTAGATTCTAAGGCGAATGTAGAAAACTAAAAAGAGGAACATGTCTGCATTGGTCCTTGTCAGGAGTCCAACAGATTCTTAAAGCCACTTAGAGAGGTCAAGGTCGAGAGCTTCAAATGTTTTTGTAAGATATTCCAGGAAACAGGAGCGGAGTAGGAGAAGACCCTTTTGCCTAGTTCAGTCCTCACTGAGGGAACACTGCAGGTAATAATGTCCTGAGAGCGCATGCTGTAGCTGCACTCACGCAGAGACATGTAGGAGGAGATGTATGAAGGCAGCAGACCAAGAAGTGATTTAAAGATGAAAATATACCAGTGAGAGAGTCTGCGTGAAGTTAATGATGTCCAGTTAACCAGTGAATACAGGGTGCAGTGGTGGGTACGATAATCACAGCCAGTTATGAATCTTAGTGCACCATGATAGACAGCATCCAACATCTGCAGGGTTCTTGTAGGAGCGTTCATGTAAATAATGTCGCCGTAATCAATGGAGGGAAGGGAGGTCCCAGATACAAGGCGTTTCCTAGCATTCAGAGTTAGACAGGATCTGTTTCTGAAAAAGAAACCCAGTTTAACTTTCAGTTTCTTTACCAAGTTTTCCACATGAAGCTTAAAAGAGAGATGCGAGTCAACCAAGATACCCAAATATTTGTAGGAATCAACAAACTCAATGGGGACATCATTTGAGGATAAAATCGGAGGAAGAACTGCTGGGACCAACTTCCTATTTGAAAAAAGCATCCCTTTGGTTTTGTCAGCATTTAGGACAAGTTTGAGGTGGAACAAATCTGTCTGGATGTAGTTGAATGCAGATTTCAAAAGCTGGAAAGCCTTAGCAACAGTTTTAGCTCGGCAATCAACAACTGTGTCATCAGCATAGAAATGTATGGCTGCATCAGGGATGTTTTTACCTACATTATGTATGTAGATTGTAAAGAAGGTGGGTCCTAAGACTGAGCCTTGTGGTACACCATTGTTGACTGTTAAATAACTGGAGGAAGTACCATTATGTTGAACACATTGCCTCTGAGCTTACACAAAGTGACATATTTTTACTTATTCATTGAGCACTTAGGCAATACCATACCACTTTATTTATAAAGCACTTAAAACAGCTACAAAGCCAACCAAAGTGCTGTACAGACAAAACAACAGGTAACAATGATAATAGTAAAGTTAAGCTGTATTCAGGAAAAAACTTTTGAATGTGTGGTATTTGCGGGGTGGAGGGCTTGGGTAACCTCTAAGTGTAGAAATATTCTCAGTCAAAATATTTTTTCCTACTTTAATCCCTGCCTTAAATGCGCTACGAGTGCCTCTCTTTCAAAGTCTGATGAGGAAGAAGAGGATGAGGAGGAGAACAAGGAAGTTCTACTCCAGCAGCTCCTGAAAGAGTCTGCCACTCAGGAGCTTGGAAACTCCAAGCAGTCCACAAGGTGGCTGACTGAGAACATTTGTATATAGTGAACTTTGTATGTAGTACAATATACTTAGTCACTTAATTTTCTTCAGATTCTTTGCCTTTTTGATTGTAAATTGTAATTGCAAATATTACATTTATTGTTAATGCTGGACGGTCAAAACCTTTTGCAGTGACTTTGACGCAATGAAACAGCTGATAAATAATAAACCTATGCATTGGTTTCATAACTCACAATGTAATTACATCCAAACAGACCAGATAACATTTATTTTTAAACACATCCTGCTTCATCAATTAGGGCAATGCAGCACAAGCCCAGATGCAGGAATTGCAAAAGGAATTACAAATTTAGGACAATTATGCAACGAGAACATCCATCCATCCATTATCTTTTACTCGCTTCTTCCATTTTGGGTCACGGGGGTCGCCGGTGCCCATGTCCGGCAATCACAGTGCGAGGGACGGGGTACACCCTGGACGGGTTGCAAGTCCATCACAGGGACATATAGAGACAAACAACCATTCACTCTCTTCACTCTCACCTAGGGACAATTTAGTTACCAATCAGTCTAACAGTCTTTTGGTCTGTGGGAGGAAACCGGAGTACCCGGAGGAAACCCACGCATGCACGGAGAGAACATGCAAACTCCACCCAGAAAGGCCCCCAGACCGGGATTTGAACCAGGGACCTGCTCGCTGAGAGGCAGCAGCTCTACCAGTTGCGCCACCGTGCTGCCGCAACGAGAACATGAAATGTTAAAATGCTTTGATTGTTTACCCTCAACCAGAAAAACCTACTCTCAAACTCAAACAAGCTCATGCTAGATCTTTATATTATAAACAAGCAAGTCTAGGATTATTTACTTTACAACTATGATTGAAATAAATTATTTAACTTTTTCAATACTATGCTTAAGTCTATTGGGCCTTCTTTGAATACCTTGTGGATGTACAGCATACAAAAATGGCACAGATGCACAAGAAATCCTTTTTCCAGCTGCACCTAGTCCAGAATGAATAATAAAATTTGGAGTTTGGCTCATAAATTACACAGAATCAGCAGCCAGGAGACCAGTAACTGACACTGCTGTATAATTTGACACTAATGGGATACTTTAACATCCACCAGTTCTGGGGGGGGGGGGGGGGGGGGGTGTGCATTCATTCAACCTTTATTTATACAGGTTAGATACTCTCATCAACAACACCCACACACCACATTCTTGTATCTAACTGAGCCAGTCATTGTTCCTCTTGAGTCATGCGTCACCTGATCCCCTAAATCTGTTTAAGTCATTGAGGCAGAAGCTGTGGAGAGTCATGGCTTCCTGTTTTTGAGTTGTGCAAGTAATGTTGTTTAGATAAGATCTGTCAGTAGACTGCAGCTGGTGAAACCTTCATAGGTTCATGAGAAGCAGTGGGACCGTACAGAAAGGATCAAGTTTACAGTAAGGAGCACAGGCGTCACAACAATTACATCTGAAGGGGACGTGTCCCACTCACATTTAAAAAATACTCATTTGGACACCCCCACCCCACTGCACACACGTTTATCATGAAATATTAGTTCACCCAGCGCTGTATCTATTTCTTCATGAACCAGTCCATTCCACTTGATTAATAGGAGAACACTCAAACCACTAAAAGTCCACTCCGAGTTCTCCTGGTTACCTACAACAACTCTCCACACCACATGCAGTGTTTCTCCTAGATCACTTGGCTTGGCAGGGCACTCCTCTCTTCGGGGGTTTGACAAAGAGGCAGGGGGAGTAGATGGAGGCACCTTTGTGTTAAGCTTAGTGATATGTTAGTGCCAGCAGTTGACCAGGGTGGGGTTATAGATGCGTGAGAGAAGCAGAAAGCTATGTCTGTGGCATCTAAGCTACCACATCTGTATTGCGTGCTGCTAGCTTAGCGCTACATTAGTGCCAGTAGTTATTGACCGGGGTGAAAGAAGCAGAGCTTCATACAAGGAGAGCTGTTGGTCAGGATACTTCTTGTCATGCGCTCTAAAATAATCATTGAATCAATCGTTTAAATATGTAGGTAAACGTAGATGTTTAACAGCCCGTTCAAATGCACCAGAACACAGGAAATGGGTGTCTACTTTATTTAAAATTTTCTGGGGGAGGACCCAACACCAGTATGTCCCCCCACATTACAAATGCTTCTGATGCCAGTACTATGAACAAAAGTTTATAAGTGGCAGTACTGTATACTGGTGAGTATCAGCCATTACTGAGTACTGCCATCTACCAAACTTACTGGTGTAAAAGCAGCATGTAGCACAGTCCTGTTGTAGTGTCCTTCAAAATGTCTTAAAGGTAGAATATTAAATCAAAATTAATATATCTTCTGTTGTTTTTTCACTAAGAGTTTTTGAATAAAGTTGTCAGTCTGAAACTGATCGTTATAAATTTATTTTAAAACGATGAGCCACAAACTTCAGTTGTGCCTCTTCATTTCAGCCCAGCTCTGCATTTAACATTTAACACTCTGGATGAATATTCCTTTTAACTCTTTACAAGTGAGACATCCAAGTCATGTATTTTACCTTCAGAGAGCGACTCCCCCACCGACTTGTTGGCTAAACCTGCAGATTTCCGACGAAACCTGAAACATTGAAAATACTGCAAGTTAAAAAGTACTGCAGCAAACAATTATAAAACATGTTTAAAGTCAAAGTAAGATTAAAGAAAGCTGACTTTAAAGATGTTAATGTCTGTAGATTGGGCAGAAAGCAGTATAATTGTATTCATGTACAAAAGTGTGTTCAGAATAATAAAAGTAGTAAGTCCTAAATCATGATCATTTCTCTTATCCACTTGTGTTTTCAACAAGTCCTTCTTTCTCGTGTCAGATGTGCCTCGATGGCAGCTTGTATTGTTTGATATATGTAACGGTGAGTATGAAATCAAAAGCTAATTTATTGAGATGACCTATTTGTATGCATTCAATCTAAGTTTGGAAAACTATCTTTATATTAATTAGAGAAATTTTCCTGCGAAAATCCAGCTACAAGTACTTGGGTGTACACATGAATGACAACCTCAGCTG